AAAAAAAATGATAATTTTCAATATTCAATTATTTAAAACAAAAAGGTTAAATACAGTGTTTTTTTCTGAAACGTAGTCTGCAGGGTTACAGCAAACCTCGCGGACTTACGCAGACTAGCAGACATTTTCTCTTCTGCAATCAAAACACACAAGAAATAACACATTTCAATAATTTTTGGAATTAGACGCTGTTTCGTTAGTAATTCTAAGGGCCTATCCTAATCACCCACACAAAAATTAAGAAATAAATAAGTTTATGTACTTCTTCTTCGCAATTTCCAGTATTAAACAATGTTACAAAATATAGCACAGAATTGGAAAATAGTCACATTTTGACAGGGTTTACATTAAAAAACCGTGAAAGGCACAATTCAGTTAACGTAGCAATTTGGTTATGTCATTTGTTAATTAATGAAAATGTCATTGTCTACACCAATGCAAAACGCCCCCTACAGAATATTAGATTTGTGACCTACGCAAAAATGTTATCTGGTAGAATTCACTAGATAACAGCCTGATTATGCGATAAATATATGTTGGGTTCTTGTTATAGACGACCCAGGTATAAGTAAATGATTAATCTATAGGTAAATGTTCTCATCTTCTACTGTTACATGGTGTGTTGTGGCATTTTCGCTCCTCAGATGACACACAACGCCACATCAGTCCAAACATACCCCACTTTTCATATAATTGTGTATTATGAAGTGTCGGGTTTTAAGATATTTCTATCAGTGTTTACTCAACTATCTGATATATACTTATCAATACACTATATATCTATACCTTGTTTTGTAAGGAACAGTTTCTTGTAATAACGTGTCGTTATCACCAATGTAACATGTCCCTATTTCGGCGTATAACAGGATTTGAATAATGTAACAAGAAGTGATTTATAAAATGTACTTATAAAAACAAAACACTGTTTGATTACCTGCAGAATATTGTGTCACAATTCAGAAATAATTTCATTTTTAAAAATATGTTTGTCACGATTATGGAAATATACAACATATTTGGAAATAACCAATTTAGTAATATCATGTAATAATATAATAATATTGTATTGTTTTACCGCTTGTAAAATCATTATTAAGAAAATCAAAACAAACAAACAAAAAATTCAAAAAGTAGAAAAAAAAATAAATAAAAAACAAAAAAACGAAAACAACAAAAAGTGTACATACATATTAACACACGTATAATATTATCATGAATTTGCTCTTATCAAATGATATTGAGGATATATTTAACATGTATCGCTCATTATAAACGAAAAAAGATTCCTGTTTTCTTTCCTTGATACTATTTATTTTCAACTATGGAAATATTATATACAATATTGTAACTTCAGTAAGGTGTGAATAGCAATGTAAATGATAAAAATTCGACTGCTTCGGACAAATCAATCTCCATGATCGCGTTATTGACAAAACGCTGGATGGTAATCTTTCATTTTCCTGTCTGTTTGAAATATATTTAAGGCTCACTGCACAAATCTCTTTCAAATACAGTGTTTCTTTTTTCTACTAGGAAATTTACCATGCAATTTATCAGAAATGAATGTTTTGCAATCCAGACGTTTTCTTGTAGCATCATTGGCCAAATCCAAACGGCGCTACCAAATCGCTTACCAGAGTTTAACACACCATTTAGTTGGTGACTAATGACTTTTAAATACGGTGCCCAGTCAGCGCTAAGGCCATGGATAAAAACTTGGCGGGGATACGATTATACCTATAGTTGATATCCATACAAGCAAAAAGGAAATTTAAATGATCGGCAACCAGGAATTCATAATGTCAAGAAAATAGAGTTTTAACGATGGTGGTGCATGCCCGTTTATTCAGACCCAATAATGATTCCATATAAATAATTCAGTAGCTCGCCTATATACACTGCACACAAGACGACAATGTTCTGATCCTATTCAGTTTAGCTTTACGTCTAATTGGTGAGAAATCAAGTACTAACCTGAAAGTGTTCTATTAAAGAGCTGTAAATTCCGCAAACAATAACAGCAAAACAAAGATTCCCATAAACGTACAGTGAACATAACATAACATTTTGATATCAGCCTTATCCGTCATTGTCTGTTTGCGTAAGAAAAAAACAAAAACGAGACTGGATTTTTTTAAAAAAAAAATTATATTACTATCCAGTCATTAATTCAAAATCATTTGACTTTGTTTTTAATAAAATCTATGGAAGCATCAATTAATAGTAAAGATAGCTAAGTGGTAAGTTATAAAGATATATATTTGACCTACTTGCTATGTCATTGTTTGATATACATAGAACTGAAATGTAAATGAATGATAAAACAGATCTTTATTGTGTCTGGGTTATATCATAGAATATCCAGAATAGGTAAAGTTTATCATGGCCTTAGAGTCATTGTATTAACACACAGATTGGTCAATATATTTACGTTACGGTGGGTACATCGCGTGTGTTCATGTCACTTTATTGTATATATTTAAAGGTTTGAAAGATAGAATAAATAGATACACCAGCATTTATAAAGTCAAGACTTAATATAAAACTATATCATGTAGTGACTTAGCAAACAACAGGAATCTATATTAAGCTTTACCAATTAGTGAGCTTATCTTGACTTAGATAACAACAGGAATCTATATTGAGCTTTACCAATTCATTACCATACCTTAATACATTTTTTATTATCGATACTATGGCATTGCATACAATTGTAAATAAGCAAGTATACACATGAGTTGATATAATGGTCGTTATTTTAAAAAATAAATATTTTGTTAGCTAATTAGATAACAGGTAGTAAATGTTCTAAATTAAATTGTTGCTGTTGAAGGCTGAATTGGAATTCAATAGACTAACGAAAAACAAAATTTGTTTTCTACCAATTGTCTTCCCTTGTTATATCGACTGATAGATAAGGATTTTTAAATTCATTTACCTGTCAGATTGTTTCTTTAAAACCAATTATATGGTTGCTCGCACAGAAACACTGAACAAGTGACAAGATAAAAAGATTGAATGAAAAAGGAAATAAACAAAACAGAAAACGAATGCATTTTTATTACTGAATTTGGATGTCAGGTAGATTTCATGTAAAAAAAAATCATAATATATTTGCCATTTTTGTTCAGTCTTTTATCGCGAAAGGCAGTATTATCAGCTACTACGCTATAGGAAATAGGTTTAGGGCAATGCTTCTCAAAATTTGTAAGATTAAACTTAATACCAGAAATTCTATTGTTTAGAATTAAAAATTGAAATGCCCTTTTTATTATACAATCTTATATACATTTTCACATTTAAATGTTCGCGCACACAATCTATGGTAACAAATGGTACACTTTAATGTTAGATTCGTGTAGCATTATCCTTTGTGATATGGTAATGCCCATTGAAATGTATTTAAAAATATAAATATTTCTATAGTCGCGTATGCAAGTACTACGCTCCTTTTCGTCAACACGATATTACGTTATCGGAAAAGAGTTCTTAGCTCGATTATTTTATGACATAATACTCTTCCTTTACGGATCCCGCAGCGCGTAACTATTACTAAATCATTTTAATATCTCAATTGGCAATATACCTGCAGTTTTATATCCCATAAACAACGTGTTTATCCCTTGATCTTCAAACTACAAAATCATTTGAATTATTTAATGATACAAACTGGTTCAGTATGTTTTTGAAGAAATACTCCTTATAACTTTGAAACCTTAGAACCATCCATTTTTTAAATAGTCTGGCAGTTTATAAGTCTTACTCATAATATCTATTTCAAAATTTCATGCCGCAGTAATCCAGATTAATGTATTTAAAGTCGGAACTGAATTTTATAGAATCGTTTAAGAATGACGATTTTTTTCTATTTAAATTCAAACTAACCTAGCTTTTGTGCACGCAGTTTATATGGAACATACAAATATGATAGACATATATGTGTGTGTGCTTATTTAATATATAAACCGTAGCAAACATTTTTTATTACATATCCTATCCTATTTTTTTTCTTTCAGTTTATTATCGGAAAGGTATAATGTTTGAAGTGTCCATAAATTTCAGATGAAAGCAAGTTATGGATAAATTGGAGAGAAATGAAAGGGAAAAAGTCTGACATGACTATTCTATTTTTAATTGTCAGTTGCTAATTAATCGTTAGCTTATTATAGAAATTATTGTCTAATCACGGAAGCGATTTTCTAACGGATATCGGGGTTACAGCATATTAGCGCCAACACTGGTACCTAAGGCTTGCAGACAGTCCATTAAATTACAACTTCTTAATTAGAGCAGTGGCACTTCACGCTTTCTTTGTCAGGACATCGCTCAATCGATCAAGGCACTAACTTTATTGCTTGTATTGACAAATTTGGACCTCTCTCATTTTCAAGCGATTTCTTTGACAGACATACGTGTGTCTTTTCAAGCAGGACGACTGTCTAATACTTTAATACCTCACGAGAAACCGAGATTAATGTCGCCGTAATTTCAAATTCATTCGCCATTGTAGCTGAGTATGGGATGTTCTTGGCTTGCTCGGATGAATCCACCATGTCATGACCCTCGTTGAAGGACAGCCCCTTACCAAATGTCATTCGCGGAATGTTTAGCATCATTTGTATACAAATGGGATGCAGCCCGCCCCTGGCAAAGATTGACACGTCTAATGCTAAAACCGATATATAATAGGACACACGCGAATGGATGTTTTTCAGCCCTATATCAACTGTTTGTAAATGGAATGAAATTTGTTTTGCGTTTGACAAATGACTGGAAGGTACAGGTGATGTTACACGACAAGAAGCAAGGTTTTCCACGTCGTCTGTTGACAATGATCTTACCAAGAATGTTTTGTTGTGAACGTGACCGCGGAGTGTAAACATCGAATGATTTCAGTAACTTTGGCACTAAAATACTACTGACGTTTGCCTCAGTTTGGTGTACTTTTGTGACTTTTTGTTGTGTTTGTGAATGTTTTTGGACTATTAATTTTCTCCATCATGCCTAGACCAGGACGAAACACTTACAATGAACAGAAGCCACCATATTCCTACATAGCACTAACCGCTATGGCTATCCAGTCTTCACAGGAGAAAATGTTGCCCCTGAATGACATATATAAATTTATCATGGATAGATTTCCGTTTTATAGACAAAATACTCAACGATGGCAAAATTCTCTCCGACACAATCTATCCTTTAACGACTGTTTTATCAAAATTCCACGGCGACCGGATCGTCCAGGAAAGGGTAGTTATTGGGCTTTGCATCCGATGTGCGGTGAAATGTTTGAAAACGGAAGTTTTCTTAGAAGGAGGAAGCGATTCAAATTAAACAGCATACAGAGAGCGTTTCTAGACCCTCTGAGACAGTGTTTGGAGTCACCATATTTCGCAGACAGAACACGAATGTCACCTGTGAATCATACACCTCAGCAGTCTCCGAGATTCCAAGCGTATGGCCATCTGACAGGTCACGGTAATTCCAGCTCTTTCAAGCAACCTTTCACGATAGAAAACATTATTGCCCCCGAAAACAAGACGAATAGTATCCTTCCTCAACCTATTCTTCCCACACCACTGCCGGCATTTGCTACTCAGTTTGCTGGTGCATTGTCATGTTCAAACTTTGTGACTCCTTACTCAACTGGAGAAATGTTATCATCGCTTGCCTCGTCGTACGGACTGGCAACGGAGTATCAAAATATTCTGAAATCAAACCACGCATTATCTCACCACCGAATACCCGCTGTACCTCTACCCATCAAACCGTCGCCATTCTCTGCTCTTTCATACCAAAGCGAACATAGTGTCATAGCTAATTCTCGTTCAGCTCTTAATCTTTCAACAACAGGACTAGACATTGAGCGCTCCATCAAAATGGCACAATCGAAAAGAGAACAAGGACTTGTCCTGTCAGTGGAACAGACGTCTTGATGATTATTGTTATCTCTTTTAAGGTATTCGAACTGTGGGAAGTCTGACATTTTTTACATCCTGAACGCTGCACATGTTAATAAATAAGTGATATTCAATTTTTTCAGTTGATATACTTCTTTGGAAAGTGTTTAAATACAGGTAAGACACACATGTCCATTCACTTAATAATTTCACGTGAATAAATCCAAGACAATGTATTTCTGCTTTGTGATTTTTATTACTTTTTAACAGTAACTTTACTTTATACAATATTGTGTTAGTAATTTGTGTTGTTAAAAATGTCAGCAAATTGTATGGAACATGGAAGTTTGTACCATGATATGTAATTTGGCCTACACTCATGTAACGTTGTCAATAGGATATATACTATATATTAGGATGTACAATGTGTATGATGCCGACAATGGTTAACGTGTTAAATGAAACATAATAACATAAAATGTCAGAATTTGGTATTTCTATTGAATATACGTTCCGTTATTAATTTGATTTTTCCAAAAAGTCATATATATCATTTAATATAACTATAAAATTGATACAGGTAGAAGAAAATTGAAATATTACAGACATCGTTTCTTAAAGATACAGAAAAAATGAGACGCACACAAAGCAATTGAACTAAACAGAAATTAATCATTATATTGCATTTAATAAATCTTGTTCTTTTAATGAAAACACGGACACATATATAATTGTTGTCTTTGCTTTGACAAATCCTGAATGTATTTGTTAATTTAAATTGACGTAAAAAACATTTTACAGATCAATTAGCGATCGAAAACAAAACTATAATTGTGTAATAAATGTAACGAATCAAACATTGTAAGGCAAAGACCTTGTTAAATAAAGTTAAAATAAAATAAAAATATAAATAAAATGAATAATCAAAATTACTACAAGGTGATTCCAATATCCGAATAATTTTACAGAAATTGAAATTATGAAATGTGCTTTTAATAATATTGGCTAAGCAAATCGAAAATATAATGATTTATAATAATTAATCGATATGAAATACGTTATTGATATCAATTAAGAATAAGTTAGATCAGATAAAAAAGATAGCAAAAATAGCAAAATAAAGATAGTTTACGTGACAAAGTGTATAATATTGTAAAAGGATAATCCTTTAACATCACAGAAAATATGTCTCGTTTTTAATATTTATTGAGTTATATTTCTTGTGATGTTAAAGGATTTTCTTCCCGGTACATTGATGTGTACAGTTACTCTATGAACGATTAGTTCTGTTTAATGGTATTCGGAAATAGCATGGTGCAGCTTAAATAGAATAACTGCATTTAAAAATGCGAAACTCAATCAGGTTAATCCTGTAGCGCATCAACTCAGTAGGCGAACGGCATACAGATTTGAGTTTTAAAGCCTAGGATTGTCGTCCAGTTTTGTTGAATTATTTCTACTTTTTCTTAAGTGTTTTGTCCCAGTTGAATTAAATTGCTTGTCACATAAAAGTATCTGCCTCTCTGAATACATCGTGTCATAGTGTCGCTATAGACCCTATTCTCATTCAAATAATTTGATCCAATGTTGCGTTAATTGAAAGTGTCAATATTTTACATGCACAGATGAAGTTTCAGTGATAATCTGGGACAGATATTTAAATAAAGACCAGAATGGATAAACATTCTTATTAAATAAACTACTCACGTTACGAACACATCGTTCCTCGACAATGGAAATACAAATATAAGCGTCAATTTACTTAGTAAACTTTCGTAGATACAGATTAATACGTCTGTGTTGAGAACATGATAGGAATTCCTTACGTGAAGTTCAAACGTACAGCTATCGAAATGCGAATGTACCTAACTTCTACTGAATATTAAGTAAATTCCGTTTTATTGTTCTCAACATCATTTATTTTTCATTGTAATTAAGCGCCATTCAAACAAATTTATGAAGCATATGCTATGAAACGTTATAGATTTAATTCTTCTATTAAATACATTTGCATGCAGAAAAGAAAAAAATCTTTTCAAGAGACTGTTGTATGTTAAGAAGATTCTGTAGTAAAATCATTTTAGAAATATTACAAAAAAAAAGGATTCCTCGTGGACATTTGTCTATTCTAATATACTACAACGTGAACAACCTCTGCTCTTCCGTCTGTAAAAATGTTTGTGCCTGTTTAATGTTTTACAAGTGCTTACACACGCTTTCAGTTTGATGATTACTTCAGAATTTGCGGGATATATACGCATATTTGACTAAAAGAACTTAAGAAAACATAACCTATTATTGTTTTCCGTAATAAAACGATATATTTTCAGTCTACATTCTAGCCCTGCAGATTTTTTTATCATCATTATATCTACATCAGTGTAATTTATGCAAACTTTTTTGTACTAAGTCTTCTTTACATGAATTATACACTCTAAATAACAAAATGGAGAAAACTTAAATATTATACCATTGATGGCAGCCTTTAATATAATACGGCATTGTAACCTTTCGTGTTGAAGGTTCTCCAAGATTTTTTATGATATCCTTTCGCTACTTTAAAGTGACATTCCAAGCGATATTACTTGCGGCCGGTGTTGATATGAATGCATGCACGTTCAGTAAAGAGTATTGATGGATCCTGTTACTCGTTGATTCATAATTGTTACTGTTTAACATATCAATATTGAATAAGAATCATACATACATTATCAATACAATACAACTTCATTACAATGCATTATCAAAATCATATATTGGAACTTTTCATGGTGAAATAGGTGATTAAAATCGTTTGACAATATATGAAACAAAAACCAATTGACATATAGTACCTCTGATATCATCCTCACGACAATGACGCAATGCTGTCTGATGGAACATGCTGTATGCTGAGTATACGGAAGTGACTTAAGAATGACAAATGTTTAAGAAGAGTGCATATCACCTGGGTACTGGTTTTCCGTCTCGTTCCCGATCAATACACCCGCCTTTTGTGGGGCGTTAGTACGATGCACACTGTCGGTTGTAGTAGGAAATCCGCGTGCATCAGTAAGCAATATGTAGTTTGTTTTAAGAAATCGACATCAATCAATTGATTAAGAGAAATATACTAACGAAAATTTGCTGGTTAGCTCTACTTCGACTCTCACAATGTTATAGTATGATATCCCAAAGATTAACAAATAATGTCTAAATATAAAAACTTACAGGATCCAATCCAACAATTAGTTGCTTTACAATAGTGTTCAAAGTATTTGTTCAATGTTTCTTATTATCAATTTACCAGTTCTGCATACGTCTAAATTCCTATAGCTACAAAATATGTTTGTTCGTCAATGATAGAAAATAGAAACCTGTACAGATCCGACGATAAAAATTCAATGACAAAATAAAATTTCCAGCTATCTTTTGTTTTGAAAATTTATTAAATCTACTACCAATAAAGGTAATATACTTGAAAGAATTAAAGAAATATACACAAATTAGATGTTTCGATCATTTTATTAGAAAGGATTATTAAATACAATTATATATATCTTCAAAAATTCAAAAGAAAGAAAATCATTCTAATTCTGTTTACTTTATTAGGGATATGCAGACTAATATGAAATAATTTTTATGATTTTTATCGTTATTTCAAGAACTAATGTACCTTCAAAATATCAGCCAATATACTTGTTAGTAAAATAAAATTAAGGAAATAAACATGATTTCTATGAGTAAGTACACCTAGGAAGAACCCTAACATTGCATGAACATCCAGGTTTAGACACAGAGTTTGTATTCATAAGCTATTATCTCCACATATTAAAAAATCTCGTAGACTGAATTGTTGTCATGCAGTTATAAGTCATAGAAAGTCACAGCAATTAAAACACACAAAGGGAGGTTGTCGTACTTCCACTTCTCGTCTCATCTACAAACGTCAGAATCTGTTTTAGAGTAGATATTCATTTATATTCATTTTTCTTATTTCTTTCACTAATAAGAAGCCTTTGTGACGGTCTAATTTTTGGAAATTCACACTTTCAATGAAATAAGATAGATAAGTAAAAGGGAATAAGAAAAAAGAAAGGATAATGTAAAAATACTAAATCTTCGTTTGATTTCTAGTACACAAAACTGTACAGGTATGAACGAATTGAAATGTTGAAGAAAGGTCTTTACTTTGAACATTTCTTTTTTCGTATTTCAACAATACAAAATAATATCAATTATACAATATAAGATTTAGAAAAAGAAAACAACATACACAAATTTGTAACCTGATGTATTTTTAATATTTACAACACTAGCTACATGAGTTATTTGAAAAAAAGATTGGTATGCAACGGCAACACAATATGTATACACTATATTGGAATAAGAATGTGGAACATGAATATTTCGCGCACAACAGTTTAGCAGATAACCGAATTATGACAAATCACTGAATCAAGATTACCGCTAGAATATGAACGTTTACAGTAACTATGATTGCCGATGAAATAATCAACAAAGCTCTAAATAAACCCTTGAAGTATATGAAAATTGTACAATCAGAATTACATATCGAAAACAATCGTATAGCTATTGACAAAATTTAGTGTGCCACCATGTACCGCCATGATTATTAAAAAACGTTGCAGTTCATATGCCAACCATCATACTTCCAAATTAAATCCCATAAAACACTTTCCCGCCTTGATCTGAACACGTCTTGCATGTTTAAGGTAACCGATTACTGAATAATTCACCACAATCATGGCCAGATAGTAACAAAATAGGGTATGAAATCTGTACAGTTGCTAAATGAACAGAACGAACATATAAATGAAAAAAAAAATCAAACGTACTAATAAAAGTAACACAACAAACATGTATAAAGGAAAGTAACAAGGCCTAATTGTTATTTTGAAATCTCTTAGTTTTGAGTATGTAATTTTGACGGTTTGAAAAATGGTAGTGTTTTCTTGATGGGTTAGAGAATCATCACCAAAGAATAAAAAAAAATCGTAGATAAGTGATGCGGCAAACGAAGATTATGAATCTGT